CACACACACACACACACACACACACACACACACACACACACAGAGCAAAGGCCCGACACAGCGTAGCGGCCAGGACGAAAAGAAAATCGAGGCAGAGACAGGAGAAGGATGAAGGAGATGTGGGACAGGTAAGGAGTGAAGAAAATGAAGGTGGGATGAAAAAAGGATGTGAAATAAAGGAGGGACAGAAAGAGGAGAGAGAGAGAACCCAGTTAATTTAAAGAAGAACAGAGCACACACATAAGAGCGAGGTGCCAGTGAGCGAGAGAGGACAGAGGACGAGATGCATGTGCGCCCACACACACACACACACACACACACACACACATACACACACACACTTACCGAGACAGCATGAACTCTCTGTAAAGCAGAGCAGTGTTAGAAGACAATAAGTATCACTGTGCAGACACACACATGTATACTGTAAACACAACACACACACACACACACACACACACCTATGACAGTCGTCCTTCTTCGTGTCGAGTTATGTCATAATCGTGTTAATTCCTACACAGAAGTTTCTAATTATATCAACACCAGGACTCGTGCTCCATGTTTCAGGACCGACAGCAGAGAAATGACAGAGCTCACACCTGCAGGAGCTGCTTGCTTTCATGAAGCTGGAGTAAAGAGAAGTAAGCTGAGCTGATCGTCCGCTCTGCATCTGTGGAGATGAGTGAAACTCCACATCTGTAGCTAAACTGATATTTTAAATAAATATTCAATATCTCTGTTGTGTTTGCTCTGCAGTCCAGAATTTCAGCCTCTGTCAAAAACCACCGTCCTCTCACACAGGAACATTCTCTGTGGAATCAAATTACGGTCAATGACATTTTGTGCTTGTGAAAAAATGTCACAGTGCATCACTTTCCGTGAGTGTGTGAAAAAGGTCTGTAGCTGTAGCAATATCTTGAAAATAAAGAAAAATTCTCTAGCACGTTTTCCTTTTGTCGAACATGGAAGAACCCGAGGCAAACTACTAAAGTAATTATTTCTAATTACTTAATTACTTAATGGTTACTCAATAGGAATCGTGCTAGTCAGCTCAAGAGTTGAAAATGGGTCACGATTTGTACTTGAACTGCAACGTTATTTCACAAGCACAAAATACTAACGAGCCTAATTAATTCTGTATCAGTCTCCGATTAATGCTCAAACAGAAACACTTCATCGAGTAACCAACATACCAAAGTGAGAGCAACATGGATGCGGTGGCATGTCGGAGTGGCCATGCGTGTGTGCATGAACGTGTGAAACTGCAGCCAGAGAGTGACAGGATTCAAAAATGTTTAGAAATAAATTGAACGTTTGGGAAAGAACATTTCAGCTCCTGCTTCGTTTACAGAAGTTGAAGCGAAGGGGGGAGATGATGAAGCGCTTCATCCTTTATCACACTCTGTGTCTTGTAACATCACATGACCCGATATTTTTTAAATATCAGCTTATTTTTTTGAAAGGGGTTTAAACTGTAAAAAAAATCCTGTTAGGATGGTTAAACCCGAAGTTAGTAGTAATCACAACACTTCTTCTCACGTACCATAAATTAACCATAAATTTGTGCACAAACACAAGCTCTGCAACACTATGTAACTTAAACCAGCAGCTTGATTCAGGTGAGATGTTTAAGTGACTGTTCACTCTTTCATTCCCACGCCTCACCCTGAACATCTGTACCTGCTCTATGTAACTGGTGAGTGGGTTCGATCTCCTGTGAGAAGTGTGGAACAGCAGCTAACCCCACTACAATAAGGTAATTGACTCCTTTCCCATTGCCAGTGGAGGATGTCATGTCTGTTTTTTCCCCCCTGGTGAATCGCTTTTCGACGCCACTCGCCAAATTAGCACGTTCACCTGGGTGTCACGTTTCCATCACTGCTGATAAAACCCAGAATCTACTGCAGAGTCATTTGACCCGGGAGTAAATGCAGATTTTTGTTCAGGTCCAGCGAGTTAAAGAATAAAGCGTAAAAAGACGTAGAAGTTATTAAAGACCAGAGATTATCTACAATATTCATCAGGAAACTTTTGAAACATGAAGAATTTTTACAGCTGCTGCTCTTTGTGTTCAGGACGCAGAGGATCATGGGTAATATCCATTTTCAGTTCAGCAAGTGGGACGACACACTTTTAATGTTAATTGCTCGGACACAGAGCCCAACAGAACCGCGTGTTGCTGCAGAGGGCGCTGTTGCTCTGTAAAAGTTACATAGTGTTGCTTTAAGTTGTAAACTTGAACTTGAACCTTTCACTTCAAATATGAAGTTAAGTGATTTGGACACCATGAGATTTTATTTGATTGTATTTAGACGCCGCAGAGATTCGTACGAACGGCACGTGATGAGTCTGTTGCACTGTCTCGTTAACTCTGGCCACAGTTTACAAAAGACAGACACACCAAGGATTTGATGGAGATGGATCAGGGGACAGGGAACGTTTGGATAATATTCTATACATTCGGATCTTCTAGATATATATTTACATACATATCTAGAACACTTCATCCAGCCCCTCGACCCTGGACGTTCACGCTGCTCTATCGTCAGCATGACGCTCCGCTGTTTTGCTCAACGGGGAGAGTTCTCACAGCGAAGCAGCGGAGGGTGGAGGAGTGGAGGGTGAGAGTGAGGGTTTGAGGGATGGAGGAAGAGGAGGAGGGAGGAACACAAACAGGGGAACCGGACAGAGGAAGTGATTTTATAAAAGTCCTACTGTGTTGCATCCTAACCTTTGTTTACCATTCAGAGAATTAGAAACATAAAGAAATTAAAATCTTTGAAAAAATAAAATCTTGAATTTTGAATAAAATTTGAATAAATAAAAACATGTATTTATTGTAAAATATACATTGAATATTTACTAATAATTATAACGCATTAGTGTGTCAAAATATTAGACATTTTCATTTTATCTTGAAAAAATATTTAAACAGTGTAATTAGCACATGAATATAACTCATTTATACATATGTGAATATGAATTGTTACCATTAAATCAAAGACACGGGACACTACACTTAAATAAGTTTGGATTGAAGCACTCTTCTGTGCACCAGTCGATCCAAAAATTAAACATTCACTTTAGTCCTGAATCAAAAGTATGTTTAAGGTTCGTTTAATAGTTTTTTGTTGATGTAATGTGAAGTTAATAAATTTACCCTGTATTTTTTCTTTGTCTTAATTGTATTTTATGTCGTGAGTGGAGCTGCTGCTGCAGATATGGTGTGGAATCAATCAATCAATCAATCAATCAATCAGTGTGTAAACGCCAAAACAAATAAATCTGTGTGTTCATGAATAAACCTGCACAGTTTGAAAAACAAAGTTTCAGGTTCAGGATGCAAAGAGAGACTTTTTAAATTCACTTCACCGCTCTGCTCACGATAACAGACAATGATATTAAATTTGATGCTAATGGGTGGAGGTGATGGTGACGATGGTGGGATGAAGGTGCTCACTTGGTTGTCTGCTGAGAGGCGGGGCATGGAGAGGGTCCGCCCATGCCCATCCACTGGGTGATAGGGCTCAGTGTCGGAGTACCCGTCCCGCCCCATCTCCCTCATCTCTACCGTCTGCAAAACACAACGAGAGGGGGCGTGACTGTCGTCTGTAAGGGGGAGGGGACTCACACAGGGGGAGGGGCTCGTTGACGAAATAGGGGCAGGAAATAAATTAAATGATAAAGTTTCTTCTAGTCGTTGGATCTATGGAACTTAACTGTTGCAACTGTAGACTTTGATAAAGATGGACGACATGACGGCGCCCAAAAGTGAAGCCAAAGTGCCTTGATTGCCCCCTGGTGGCTGCCTGCAGTATAGGTCATAAACCCTGCCTTCTCCATGTTAGCAGATGGGACATGGACCAAGTCATAGATGGTTTGTGACATGTTTCTGGTTAGTTTGTTTTTAATTGGTGATTTGATGATGTTAAAGGTCATGATTGACAGCTGAGACTGACTCAGGCATCATCGGCGCAAGATGGCAGCGTTTGAATTCCCTGGATATTTAGGCTTAATTTCTGGATCATGGGAGGAAGTGGAGACAAGTCTTCCATCTTTATTTACATCAATGGTTGCAACCTGTGTTTTGGTTTTAAAAATGACGGGAACATTAAAACCAGGATTTGATTATAAGTTAGAAGACCACATATCACAATAATCTAGATTTGAGAGGTTGTGGATAAACGCTCGTTCCAAATCCAAACCCTGACAACTGCAAAGATAAAACTTTCTATTTTTTGGACTGGAAGAAGAAAAATATCTCAGATTTTAGGCCTTGTCATGTACATGGTACGTTTCCAAATCCATGAACACTTCATTTGTACTTGGGATGAGAGATGAGGTGCTGGGGGAGAAGGGACGTCCCAACAGACAAGCGAACATAAGGGGGCAGTGAGGAGGAAAAGGTGCTCGTCATAAAACACATCCACCAACTCCAGCAGGAGAAAGAAAACCATCAAGGAAAGGGAAGATGGGGAGACTGTAAAAAAAACAGGAGATGGCTTGGAGCAGAGGGATGAAGAAGGAAAGATGAATAAAGAAAAGAGCTAAAAGGAAAGAGAGAGACGCCACAGTCTTCTCTGCTGGAGCAACAACCACGTCCAGCTCTTCAGATACAAGTTGTTCATCGGAGGTTTGTGGATTTAGGACAAACAGCTCTCAGTCTTTTTAAGAAATATCTCAGGAAAGACTAGAAACACAGTGGATTCTGACTGATCCTCGTTTATCCTCATCATTAGAGGTTAGATACGGAAATACAAATATTTAACTGAAGAGACGGAGAAAATCAGGGGATTTAACTTTCCACTCAGTCACTGTCTTTAATTTGTCTTCATTTTTTCGTAGACAGATTTGAACTGATGCATTTTAACATGTCCACATAATTCAAATGCTTTTTGATGATCAGATTCAGAGCTTGACCACATGATAGTTCAGCGGTAAATTCATTGAGGACGGATGTAACCACCTCGAGGACCACATCGTACCTGCGGGTTGTGCCGGTTGTCGTGGAGATCGTCGGGGTACGGTCTGTCTGGGCTCCAGTTGCCCGTCTTCTGGAACATTTCCTGGGCTTTGGTCGTCACCCACGACTGGCTCTCGGTGATGCCACCCTCGGGAGGTCTGGCGGTGTAACACACACACACACACACACACACACACACACACAGGTGAATTACAAACCAGAAAATCTTTACTCACTCTGAGAGAGTTGAATCTTTTTGCAATATGTGTTGTGACAGAGACACTTCTCCCCGTTTTGATCTCTCTTAAAGACACGATTTTATAATGCTCTTTTTCCTAGTGATGATTTTACTGACTATTTATATGAAAATATGTTTCACTTTATCTTGTTTTGACTCTTTTTTCATCTGCAACTTATATTTCTGCTCTAACGCTGTGTGTTAATAAATTTTCTGTTAATTGTTTGCCTTTGATTTTTCATTTTTAACTTGCAACTCAATAAATAAAACTTATTATTAATATTATTATTATTAGTTTACTACTAAAAAAATATCATCCCTCCCTAATGACCTGATGAAGGAGCAAAGAAATTAAAATATTTCCCAGATGTACACAGAGTATATTTATATATACTGTATAATCATGTAGGGAAGTACATGATATAAATGTGTGTGTTCATGTGTTCCACTGTCTCAGTCATGTCAGTACAGTACATGTGCCCCCCCGTCCCTCTCCAGGTGCACTCACATGCTGTTGATGTTGTCGGGCTGGGTGCTGGGGAGGCCGTTCACGCCCTGCCCCCCCTGGCCCTCCGTGCCCCCTCCCTCAGGGGGCGGCTCCATGCGCTGAAACATTAATGGCGTTCGGTTCTGTGTGAGATACATGACATGGCCTGCAGGCTGGCATCAGGCACACTTAGGGGGGCGGACACAGGACACAAACACAGGATGCACTCGCAGCATGCACCCACATGGGGGCGCCATCGGCAAGCACATGGCCGTGGGTATCCAAGGTAAAGTTCCCTGGCGGACGACTGATCTGGGATCTGCCGACCTCCTTGAAGTCGTGTTTAAAAAGACAATTTACAAAGTTGTTTTTTGGACTGACATTCAAAGAGGGAAGGCTGATCTCAGATCTGTGTCGGACGGAAACTTCTACCTTTGGCATTAAATGTAAAACTGCTCTTAAATCACAGGTCATGGACCAAATTACCACACTCGTGAAACACAACAGTGAAAAGACATTTTACTCAGTCGGTGTGATCTCAGAATGTGTTGAGTAATATGCCATTTTTGTGGGAAGAACACATCTGATCCTGAACCAGTTGTGTTAAAAAGCAACGGCTGCTTCCATCTGACAGGTCGGAGGTCAGGCAGCTTTGCTCCCAGGGGGTCCTGGGTAATGGAGTCCTCATGACCACTACAGCTTGTGTCATGTCCCTCCACAGCCTGGAGGCTAAAGGCTGAATGCTAAATGAGCGCAGATGGGTCGAGGCCTCCTCAGACACACGAGGCTGATCTGCTGGACAGGAAGCTCGTTAAGCTACACTTTAGTTTTTACAGTTTAACCAGTCGACAGTTTTTCATACAGGGTTTGTTTACAGGTGGAGGCGTCTGATGTGGTAGATTTATTTCGAAATGTGCATCTTTTATGTTCACGACTGGGTGAGGGTTAAAAATCCCAGGTCGACTGAGTTAAACTACAATTTGTGGCTGTTATGAATGTTTGAAATATCGACTCCTGGTCAAAAGAAAGCTCCGAAATTCTAACGCATCTTTTGAGTGTTCAACTGAAAGCCTTCTATGAACGTGCGACACAGAGACGTCCTGAGGAAATTCACTGTGCAGACGATGACTGTGGTGAAAACACGAACTCTGGAACATCACCAGCTTTAATGGAATATGTCTCAGCAGCGACGTATGTATCAGTCTCAGCGCTGATTACATACAGAGCCACTGGTGCCAGGAACCTCCACTCAACATCCCAACCACCACAGACACATTCACCAACACACAGGACCGGAGAGAATGGCTCTTGGTTAAAGAAACTTGGGTGACAATGGACCTGGATTGACCAAACAGTGAGAGCTTGATAAGTCAAGGTCCCATCTCTTCCTGGAAGCATAAAGGGAGAGCGTCAGAAGGTTGGAGATGACATGGGAGACAGGAAACGAGGGGTTACAGACAACAGACAGGAGAACGACGGAGCGCAGACAAACGGGAACACAACAAAATATCAGAGACAAAACAAAACAAAAAAAACTCAGCAAAGACGTGACTCGGCACGAGGAACACACAAGAGGGGGAGGAGAGAGATGAGCAAACAGAGGAGGAGGTAAAGAAAAAATCCACTTCCTGGTTCTCCACACTGTTATGATGTTTGCAGCCTTCTTTCTTTGAAAGCATTTTCAAAATGCATTTTACAGTTTTAAGCTTTTATATTTTTCTTTCACACATTTAACTCTGATTACTCAATTTTCTACCATGATAATAAAGATGCTCCTATATCCAGTCCTCAGTGTTTGGTGCTGTTATGGTGCACAGTAATAATGGTAATAACAGCTTTTGTATGTTATGTTAATGTCAACAGGTTTATTCATTAAATTAAATTGTAAATGCTACACAATGTACCCACCTGTCACTACCCTGAGAGCTAACTTAGCTGGAAGCAGTGCATTGTATTTGTTCCTGTGTGTGAATGGGTGGGTTTTCACAAAACTTGGTGGGAATATTACTTGAAATAAAACTTTAAGATATGTGTTCTGAAAAACACATTTTCCAAGATATCTCTGCAAATAATAGAAAGACAATGTAAAGCTGATATTGAAAAGAAAATGTTTCCCCATCTGAAAAGTAAAGTCATGAAGAAGTCAGAATATTACGTTGAATAGAAATGATGTCATCATGACGTCACTGTGAAGTCAGTAGTGATGCAACCAATTTGATTATTAGATTAACCAATCAATCATCATCATAAAGTCTGAATGACAATATTATGATATAATAAAGTTAGCATTGCTTGATTAGGGTAAATGCAGCAAACGGTAAGAATCTCCCCTCTGGTACTTTTATTTTCTAATCCGTTTTATTCTGAAGGACAAAACTGGATTTGTATTAATTGTGTCTGAATAAATAAATAATTTATTGGACTTTTCCTCATCAGTTCGATGAAGTCCAGAAATGTACCAGTTACATCTGATTCTAAGACGCAGACAAGGAAATATTCTTAAACTCCATCGAAAGAACACGTATGAAGAAAGAACAATAAATGATCAGATCTCAAAGTTACCTTCATAACAGTGTAAAGAGGGTTTTGAGTGGATTCTTTCTTTAAAGTGCGGCATTACAAACAGAGACACAGTACAGACGGTGGGACAAAGTGACACAGACGGTTGAAGGCCTTGTGCATTGCTGATGTTGAGAGAGCCTGTGTGGACCAGTCCATTCTGTCCAATGGGATGTCTGCATTCAGGAACATACCAGCATATACTGTGATTGCAGGGTCGTACTCTTTGGAAGGAAAAATGAAAAAGAAGAACATGCTCTCCAGTCACCAATGTGCTCCTTCGTTCTGCAGAATAGAAATGTTCTACTGCAAGAAATGTCAGGGTTCCCACTCATGAAGAAATAATATTCCAGGACATTTCCAGTTTGTTCACTCTAAACACTCTGCTCTACTGCTGCAAAAATTCTAAACTGTAAGAAAACTAGGAGAGTTAAGAATAGTAATGGCTTCTTATATGCAGCCATACTGGCCTGTAATTACAGGAGAGTTGCAGGAGAGGGCGTACCTGTTATACTACACAGCTTCACACAGTCACGCTTATGATAAATGCTTGGGGCTGAAAAACAATAAAATCATTTCCAGGACAATAAAGATTATTTCCAGGATATTTGATCATTTGAACTAATTTCCAGATTGTTTCCATGAGTGGAAAAGTTCTTCCCCGGATGAGTGGGAAACCTGGAAGTGTCTGAGTCAATGTGGACGAGTTTGTTCCCGTTCCTTTGGCGAGTTTGGACTTTTTTACATGAGCTGGATGAGTTGCTGGAGTGAACCGGAGGCATTGCATGAGTGGAGAGATGTTTCACAGTGTGGACCAGACAGCGGGAGCGAGTGCATCTCAAGGGCATTCATCGACAGGAGGGGGAAGAGCACTGACACTGAACAAAATGTGAGGCCATGTGGTATCATCATCATCATCATCATCATCATCATCATCATCATCATCACCATCATCATCATCATCATCATCAAAATGCAAAACATCATCTACAACAAAGACAATCGCTGTAAATGAGTAAACCTCCGAAACTCTGGATCCTCGTCACCATGTTCAAACATCTCATGGTGAAAAGAAGCAGAAGACTTGAAGCGGAGAGGGAGGACGCTAACTAGTTGGAGAAAGTTAAACAGCTGGCAAACCTCTGCTAGCAAGCAGGCAAGAAAAAACAAAAACCAGAGGCAGCGACAAGGTGCTGGAAAAAGGACGAGGCAGATTTTCAGGGATCGTGCAAATAAAGGGTTCAGGCTGAGAGGGTTCTTGTGCTTTTAAAATCATATTTAGCAGGAGAAAAAGCAACGTTCAGAGTAAAGGAGAGTGGGAGCAGTGTCACGAGAGAACCAGGTGAAGGAGGAGGAGGAGAACAAGAAGAGGAAGAACAGAAATGTCTGCGTTCAAGGAATTTCTCTGGGATGGCGTCTACCTGTTCCTCACGCAGGGCCTGCAGCTTTTTCGTCTTGCTCTGCCGGTAGTACTCCATGATCATCATGGCGGCGTAGATTTTGCCCACCGTCAAGTCTGTGGCTGCTGAGAAAATGACAAGTTACCCTGCAAGATTAGACCCGAGTGAGATGGGACCCTGAGCCGTGGGGGGGATGGGAGTGGGGGACGAGACAACACACAAAACATTGAAACGCAAACAACACCACAAGAGAAATTCAACGTAACATGCAGAGTGCACCAGCAGCAGGGACGACATCATTTCAACTGTCTCTACTTGGTGGGTTCAGTACATCTTCCTCACCCACAGTGGCAGAGACACAAAGTTGTTTCCTCTGCCACAGTTGTTGTGTTTGTCTGTTCAATAGCAGGATTACGTCAAAACGTCTCCATTGATTTCTATACAGTCTCGTTCCCTGTATGGAAACATCTGAGGTTGTTTGTTGGTTGGTCTGTTTCTAAAATCTATGACTACAATATATATATATATATATATATATATAAAATAAGTTTGATGAGGCGAGATAAAGGAGTTGTGTTTCTATTCTCTGTGAGTGAGACAGACAGAATTTCTGATTAAATTTCAGTTTTAAATTTTAATAACCTGGAAACTAAAATGTTATTTTGTTGTTTTTGAAGAATTAATGATCTAAACATTCCTGATGAATCCTGAACTGAAACAGCTGGACCTGCTCGCTGGTGCACAACAACCCACTTTATTACATCACTGCACAGTTATTACTACATCAAAGCCAGTAGTCTTTTCACAGGCAGATGCTTCACCTATCAGTTCACATTCTCTTATTTTGTTTTCTATCCATATCAAACCTTGAGTGTATTTAATCTTTGATCTCAATATTAAGGCTGAGGACTGAAGTAGCCGCCTCACTAGGAAACACACGGACACCTCAGTCAAATGATCCCTGGAAAACAGGAGCTCAACTTTTTTCTACAAACTCCGGACGTGTATCCCCAGAGTTTGGATGAAAAACATAAAACATTTAAAATCTGAAAAAACGTTGAGCTTTGTTTTGGCTCTCAGATAACGTCACCGCGGAGGAACTGAATGGGCAGCACCCTTTTCAAAGTGGCACGGCTACGAGTCTTCCAGCATTAAAACATGTGATAAGATATGACCACACATATCTTATTCTCTTTATTACATAACTGGGCAATCAGACATGACAAATCCTATCTTATATCTCATTAACTGCCATGCATTTAGCCAAACAACTCAAAGTTACTGCTAAACATGCAGAATTACACTAGTTAAAGTCATGTTAGCACTAAAACCGCTCAAATATTCTTATTGTTCTAAACAGATTTACCTGAAAATGTTCATTCATCACATTCAGTTTTCATATTTAATAAAATTATCAGACTAGTTTGTTAATTTATTTGCTTCTAAATTCTTCCTGTAGTGAAAAGACTTCTATAGAGGATCTTCTATAGCAGACACCCCCTGATACCAGGACTGTGTGTGTGTGTGTGTTAGTGATCTCTGGTCCAGTTCAATTCTCCCGTCCTGACAGATCTGATCACAATTGGACAGAATTAAGTACCTGTGTCTGCACCTGACATTAAAATGCGTCCACTTCCTCGTTATATATGCAAATAAACATGACTTTCATTTGTTTTCAGGTGTTTGTGTGTGTGAGCGAGAGAGAGAGAGAGAAAGAGAGAGTGAGACAGAGAGAGACAAAGAGAGAGCGGAGTCACGAGTAAACTGCAGCGGGTCAGAGACGTCAGCTGAGTGGGTCGTCCTTCATATGTGGCCCAGGACACATGTGAACGTGGTCTGAACTTAGCGCTGACCACTTGTGATCGGATCACTCAGGACGTAACACCGGGTCTGAACAGAGTCTGTGTACATGTACTGTGTTTGCTGGTGAGCCTGGAGTACATGTATATTTGTTATGGATGCAGTGGATGTGTGTTTGTGTATCTATATGTAGAGTGAGTTTGTGTTGTCGTAGCCTGATCAGGAGATGCGAAGCAGTGAATGACACTGACTGGTCGAAGCTGTCCTCTTGGTGAGTTGGTGATCGGACACATACACACCACTATGCGCAACTTCCTGCAACTTACCCTTGTGCGGCGTGACCAGCAGGTCCAGCGTCTTCTGCGATAAGTTCGGCCAAATTGCCATCATCTCCTTTCTCAGCTCGGCATCCATCTGGTGCTTGTCTGCACCCCCTGGGCAGCCCCCCAACAACCCAGAGTGCCCACCCCCCCACACACACATACATAAACACACACACACATATCCAACATTCAGATATCCACACATATGCAAACATCCCACACACATTGACACAAGGCGAAGAAGGTGCGGACCAAAAGGGAGGCACAATGGCACAAAATCCCAAAAGAAAGATATTTAACCATTCACACATATACACATACACCCCCCCCCGAAAGAGCAATATGTTAGTGTCATAATAACATTATTTTGTCAACAATATTACAAAACAGACAGAAATCGAGAGGTGGTCACATGTTGTTTTTCCATCTCTTTAATTCGGTGAGAGCATTTCAGTTTCTGATTTTGTGACACTTTCACTCAAAACCTTGCAATTGCACTCAAACAGCTTCCGCTTGTGCTTAGAATTGTTCTGCTTGTGCTCAAACGCAGAACTTATTATCAGACCTCAAGCAGAAGCAGAGCAAATCTAAGCACAAGCAGGGGCTATTTGAGTGAAAGTGCAGGGTTTTCAGAGAAAGCTTTACAAAATCTGTAATCTGTAAGTCCTGCTCTAAAACTGAAAGACGACTTGAATAGAGGGAGGAAAACAACCATGTGATAATACTTGTGAATGACCCAGGAAATACCCAAGGATATCAGACAGGAAAGATGAACAGGGGTGATAATACTTCGAGTCGTACCCTTGGCAATCTTTATATCCAGTGCGGTCCTTATCAGAGCCATGAGGGTGGAGTTAAAATGCACCGTGTTGTCGTCTGCAACCGGCAGATCCATGCGCAGCAGCCTCTGTGGAGAGCCAGTCAGGATGAGAGGATGAGAAGGGGATGCGCCCTTGCTAAAAGAGCGGAGTGCCTGAATCTCCGGGGGAAGGGGAGCGGGTTGGGGGGTTTTAGGGGACGGGGTTGAGAGAGCTCCATAGACAACAGCCAATTAGAAGTGGACTTGGATTTGTCCAGGTTTTATTCGATATTCCCTGAGACAGATTAGGGTTCAAACAAGAGCGACTGAGCCTGAGTGTAATAATTTTGAATCCCGGTTTGATCAACGCAGCATAATTCGTCAAGTCAGGGAATTAAGCTCTTGTTTTTTTTTTTTATGTTCTCTGACAAATGTGTGCGAGAGTAAGCGACTGTTGTGCGATTGTGTGTTAAATCTGCCGCACATATAATTTTATCAGTACACGCATTTTGCAAGTGCGAGAGCATTTGCTTGAGGGAAGAAAAAGACGAGTTCCTGCATCTCCTGTTTTTTTTTTTTGCCAGTGATACTCTACATGACAGCACAGCTATCCAATGAGAGGCCATCTGCTGCTAAGCAACTGTGAGAGCCGAGAACCACAAGAAAGAACAATCAGAGCCAAAATGGCTTCCGACCCAACCTGTGCCCATGTTCCCTAAATGTGTGAATGCACTGGCGCATTTACACATCTCTGTGGTTACACACATATAGATATAGATGTATATAACAGTACACATACACCAACCCTCCCCCACCAACCCCAACATCCCTCCCCACCTACTTACACACAATTATTTGCACCGACTCCAATTAAGGGTACTTAATTGGAGTCCACAAAATAGGTTGACTGGGGAACAATAACAGTATCACTGGTGTAATTCTGCTATTTCTTTCAGGAGACTGCTGTCTAATTTAACTGAGGCATCTTCTATAGAGCTCCCCCCACCTGTTAGGAGGTTCCCTGTCTTTACATGTCTATACCAGGTAAAACCAATGGAGAAACCTGCTGATAGAACAAAACAAGCTGGGCCACCTGGGGCCGCTTGCCGTTCCTATCCTGGCGTCCATCGGATTTACCTACGAACATGAGCGTTGGGCACTCACGATGGCAAGCACGTTGTGTGATGGCGGTGGGGTTGTGTGTACGTGCTCGTGTGTTCCTGAGTGTGTGCGAGTGTCAGGCATGCCCAGAGCCGAGTGTGCGGCAGGCAGAGGGCATCGGCCCACATCCACAGCGCTCGGCAGGCAGCAGACAGGCAGGCTCGATAGCCGTGCAACAGAGAGTGCGGGGGGTTGCATGCAACACCAAACAAAACACCCCGCTAGAAATAAAATCCCACGAACCCAGACACACAGCATGCAGCATGCCTTTACTTCACTCCCACTGTCTAAGCCCCAACTCTTCCCACCTACCCATCCCACTACCACTCGCCCAATTTCCCTCAAAACCCACTTTCACAATACAAGCAGCCGTGCATCCGCGCAAAGAGAGTATCCTCAATCTAATTGGATTGATCCTATTAATTGATTCTTTTCTTTTGCTCTCTATATTTTTACAATCATGTTTCCTTTAATCAGAGTCAAATTGGACACCGATGGTAATATTTCATATCAGGTCAAGATCTCTCTCAATGCCAAACGGGTGCAGTGTCTTATGGGGACTCAGAGTTAGAAAGGAGTAGAGTTGTGGCATTCCCTGAAAGAAGAAAAAAAATCATATAGAAGATCAAAAAGAGATGATTGATGTTCGGCCTGTTTTTTTTGTTCTGGATCAACCAGACTTTGTAGTAGTAGTAGTAGTAGTAGTAGTAGTAGTAGTAGTAGTAGTAGTAGTAGTAGTAGTAGTAGTGGTAGTAGTAGTAGTAGTAGTAGTAGTAGTAGTAGTAGTAGTGGAAGAAGTACTGTAGGGTAAAGGGAGGGGTCTATCGAAGGGGACACATGGCAGGGACAGCAGTTAGTTGACTTAAACTCGGTGAAGCTAAGCTTGGTCATGAGATGTAGTTACAGATAAAAAGGGAATGAGAGGAGGGAGAGGAGGATCGTGGAAAACACTGATAGAGTAAAAGTGGATTCAGGAGGACGTATTTCGGTCCGAAGTAACAGAGAGAAATTTGAGTGCGGTTTGTGTGTAGATAGAAAGAAAAGAGAGAAGAAAGAGGAAATTACAGAACAAGACAAGAGATAAAGACGAGGACTCGAAACAACACTGACATAAGTTTACTGAGAAGAGTTCATAAAAAACCACGCAAAGCTTTGGTATCAAAACTACTTTTTCTACTAAAGCCTAGTGTCCACTGAAGGGAAGTTCGAGAACTTTACCAAGAAATTAAGAGCAATCGGGGTCAAAGAGGTTAAAGACGTCTAACCTTGCCCTCTATTCCGACACAAAATAAGAGGAATTTCACTCTAAAGGTCTTTTAATAAGCAGACTTTTTCTTTCTGCAAAATTCATTCAATGAATACTGGAAGGTTGTGATGGCTGAAGTATGTGATGGGGGCCACTGCCGAGACAAGTTGACATTCTGGAGAGGAAGAAAAAGAGGGAACAGAAAGGAGAGGGTGAGAAGAGACAGACCACACTCGGATGAACAGAGGGATTCTGTGAAGGAGTGAAGATGAGCTGAATCGCGGACAGACAAGTGGACGCAAATGTAAAAGGACAGAAGAACGACAGAGAGAGAAAAAACAAAACAATAAAGAAACAAAAATGGGGAAACCAGAATTAGCGTCCTGTGTTTGTATGCCTTCGCCAACCTGTGCATTTTCAGTTTGCATGGTTGTCACTGGCTCGGAGGCATAACAACAAAAAATCGTGAAAAGGGCAAAAAATGGAGGAAAAAACAGAGAAGAGAAGATTAAAGTAGAAAGATAAAAACGAATAAGAGAGACAGGAGTGAGAGAGCGACTGACACCCAGATTCAGTGTTATTTGTTTAAAGGCATCATACAGAACATTTATACAATTGGTGGTTGGTTACATTCATATTTAAATTTGTGAGTTGAATGTTGATGAAAGGATCTCTGAGAATCAAACCTCCATTCTGGGGCCCATGTGACTGGTTAGTTTGGAGACTGCTGCCTCAAGATTGGACTTTCTCTTTTCACTTTTCACTTTTTCATGTATGTCACATTCATTTTTCTCACAATTTTGGATGAAGTATTCTTTTTTGTATCAATACTAAAATTGAGATGTCATCAAACACTGTTCAGCCCTACTTCTGAAAAGTTGAGATCCAATTATTCCAAAGCGAAAGATGAAAGACTTCACACTCCTAATGATACACGATGATATTTCCATCTGTGATTCTACTTTTCAGAGCCTCTCAGCCCCGCGAATGCAAAGTTCCAGAAACTATTTGAAGCACATTGTCTTTTAAGAACTATTCCTGGTGAATCTGGATGTCAATGAGAGAGAGAATGACAGAGAGAGGTAAGAGTCTACTGAGAGAGACAAAATGTGACAAAGAGACAGCGAATGCGGAAATGCTCGATCCAAATCTTTACCCTGGTGGTCCGAGGCACAAAGAGACGCAGAAGTTTCCTTCGGTGTCAGAAAAAAGACAAAAAAATAGAAGGGCCAGAACTTCCTTCCTACTTGTTTTTTTAAAGCAGTATCACTATGTCATGTGCACAGCGTGTGTATGTGTGGTCATGTGTGTATGTGTGGTCATGTGTGTACGTGTGCACTACAGTGCCATCCACAGGAATAAGAGACTCAGAGGACTGAAGACAGAAACCCTTGCCGTTCCTTCTGTACCTGCATCGTAAGCTAAGATTCGCACGGTGTGAAAATAAGCCTGGATGAAAAAAAATCTGTGTTTGAATCAATAGATATATTATTTATGATTATTACTGAGAAACAACTGCGTGTGTAAAGTGTGTATATTAAGCAAGTATTGGTCACAAAGTTAACCAGTAATTGTCCTCGGGTCAGTGGCATCATTTGCAGGATGTAATGTTTATAACCTGCTGCAAATAATCATGTCACAAATATTGACAGAATGTGGCCGAATATTAGGTTTCATTTACATGTACATTGGTTTTTCTTCACTACAATTTTGTGGTTATTTTATTTATAACAACACAAATCAGGCTGCATAGACATGATTACCATAGAAGCTCACTTCATAGTTCATGCACTGATTCTAGAAGATGGAGTTAAATATGCAAATATCAATTCAAATATATATCAAAAGAAGATTTCTTGCTTTCTAGGAGATTTATGCTCGATCTGTGTTTCTCTGGTGTGTGTTTGTGTGCGTGCAAGCGTCCGTGCAGGTTGCAGAGGGACTGGCAAAGCCTCCTCTGTTCCCTCACTCCTGCGGCCTGACGGGAGGAAAAGAAAAAAAGAAAAGAGGACTGACTACCACTCCACTATCACTTCACTTCACTGCACGATGACAAAAAAAAAAGCCCATCCCTCCATCCCCGCGGTCGGAGAGAGAGAAGAGAGGACAGCGCTCACCACCACCACCACAACCACCACTAACAGACAATGAGGAGAACACCGCTGGGAGGAGGAGGAGAGGAGGGATGAGGAAGGAGGAGGAGGAGGAGGATGAGGAGGAGGAGAAGAGGATCGGGGGGGGGGGTTCAACAGGTGAGAGAGGAGATGTTCTCCTCCCCAGCGATGGGGAGGACTGAGGACGGAGATGGGAGGGGAGAGGGGGGAGAGAGAAAAGGATGATGGGAGAGAGGAGCGAGGAGAAGGAGGTGGGAGTGGTCGTGGTGGAGGGGTAAGGTGGGGGGCGAGTCTACCTTATAGGCGACCCGGGCGGGACACCTCTTCCCAAGGCCTAGCGGCGGACACATGTGTCTTAGCATCTGATACATGTCTGTGTAACTGATCCGGCCGCTGGGGTGGCCACAAACACACACACATGTCACACACCCACACGC